AGGAAGTCTGGGTTTGGGGTGGGTTTGGGGTGGATTTTGGGGTGAATTCTGGGTTTTTTGGGTCCATTTTGGGGTCTCACCTCCTCGGAGAGGAAGGCCGGCTCCCCCATGGCGGCGTTGGCGCAGGGCCCGATGTTGAGGATGCTGTCACACACCTGGCACGGGGACACCGCGGCCACGGGGGACACGGGTGACACACGGGTGACACACGGGTGACACACGGGTGACACACAGGTGACACACAGGTGACAGTACCTCGAAGGAGTAGGTGGCCAGGTTGGGGTGACAGGGAGGTGACAGACAGGTAACACAGGTGACAGGGGGGTGACACACAGGTGACACACAGGTGACAGTACCTCGAAGGAGTAGGTGGCCAGGCTGGGGTGACAGGGGGTGACAGATGGGTGACAGACAGGTGACAGGGAGGTGACAGGTGACAGACAGGTGACAGGGAGGTGACAGACAGGTGACAGATGGGTGACAGGGAGGCGACACAGGTGACAGTACCTAGAAGGAATAGGTGGCCAGGATGGGGTGACAGGGGGGTGACGGGGGTGACAGACAGGTGACACAGGAGACACACGTGACACACAGGTGACAGTACCTCGAAGGAGTAGGTGGCCAGGATGGGGTGACAGGGGGTGACAGACAGGTGACAGTACCTTGAAGGAGTAGGTGGCCAGGATGGGGTGACAGGGGGTGACAGACAGGTGACACAGGTGACACACAGGTGACAGAGAGGTGACAGTACCTAGAAGGAATAGGTGGCCAGGATGGGGTGACAGGGGGTGACAGACAGGTGACACAGGTGACACACAGGTGACACACAGGTGACAGTACCTCGAAGGAGTAGGTGGCCAGGATGGGGTGACAGGGGGTGACAGACAGGTGACACAGGTGACACAGGTGACAGTACCTCAAAGGAGTAGGTGGCCAGCTGTGTCCCCGAGGCCGCCTCGCTGCCGTACACCTCGATCTCGTCCACCTCGTCCTGCGCCTGCGGCTTCCCCCCTGCCAGGGGACACAGCTGTGTCACCTGTGTCACCCCCTGTGTCACCCCGTGTCACCCGCTGCCATCCCGTGTCACCCATGTCACCTACTGCCGTCCCGTGTCACCTGTGTCACCCCCTGTGTCACCCGCTGCCATCCCGTGTCACCCATGTCACCTACTGCCGTCCCGTGTCACCTGTGTCACCCCGTGTCACCCACTGCCATCCCCTGTGTCACCTGGGTCACCAGGTGTCCCCAGTGTCCCCACTGTCCCCAGGTATCCCCAGTGTCCCCAAAGGCCCCCAGGTGTGCCCCCAATGTCCCCAAGTTGTCCCCAATGTCCCCCAGGTGTCCCCAGCTGTTCCCCAGGTGTCCCCAATGTCCCTGAGGTGTGTCCCAGGTGTCCCCAGGTTTGTCCCAAATGTCCCCCAGGTGTCCCCAGGTGTCCCCAGCTGTCCCCCAGGTGTCTCCAGTGCCCCCAAAGGTCCCCAGGTGTGTCCCCAATGTCCCCAAGTTGTCCCCAGTGTCCCCCAAGTGTCCCCAAATATCCCCAGGTTTGTCCCAAATGTCCCCCAGGTGTTTCCAGGTGTCCCCAATGTCCCCCAGGTGTATCCCAGGTGTCCCCAGATGCATCCCAGGTGTGTCCCAGGTGTGTCCCAGCTGTCCCCAGGTGTGTCCCAGGTGTCCCCAGGTGTCCCCAAGTGTCCCAGGTGTCCCCACCTGCCCACGGCCCCGATGGCTCCGAGCGTTTCTTCTTCACCGGGGGCTCCTCCTGGGGGGCAGGGACAGGTTTGGGGTGCCCAGGTGTGACTTGAGGTGCCCAGGTGAGTTTTGGGGATCCCCAGGTGAGTTTTGGGGTGCCCAGGTGAATTTTGGGGTGCCCAGGTGAATTTTGGGGTTTGATTTCGGGTCTCACCTGTCTGTCAGGCCCCTCCTTGCCCGCCCAGGCCAGGGGCTCTGGGATGGGGATTTGAGATCCCAGGGAGGATTTGGGGTTCTTTGGGAGGGATTTTGGGATGCCCAGGTGAATTCTGGGGTGCCCAGGTGAGTTTTGGGGTGAGTTTTGGGGTCTCACCTGTCTGTCGGGCCCCTCCTTGCCCGCCCCGGCCGGGGGCTCCTGCAGCTTCTCCGTGTACCTGAGCAGGAGGGAGTTGCCCAGGCGGGACCCCAGGAACAGATAACCCGGCTCCAGAGGGACCATCTGGGGACACAGGTGTGTCCTGAGTGTCCCCAGGTGTGTCCTGAGTGTCCCCAGGTGTGCCCTGAGTGTCGCCAGGTGTGCCCAGGTGTGCCCAGGTGCTTACACAGGTGGTGAGGACGGAGGCGGCCGCTTTGTCGAAGTGGAAGGAGCGCACGGAGCGCATCCCGTCCGTGATCAGCGTCAGCACGTAGCTGGGACGGGGAGGGGACAGCTCAGGGGGGGACGGGGACACCCCGAATCCCTTGGGGACACCCCAAAACCTTGGGGACACCCCCAAATATTTGGGGACACCCCCAGAAAAACCAGGCACCCACTCCTTGTCCCAGGGACGGAGCGCAACCCGTCTGTGGTCAGCGTCAGCACGTAGCTGGGACAGGGAGGGGACAGCTCAGGGGGGGACAGGGGACACCCCGAATCCCTTGGGGATACCCCGAATCCCTTGGGGACATCCCAAAACCCTTGGGGACACCCCCAAATATTTGGGGATATCCCCAGAATAAAACAGGGACCCCCTCCTTGTCCCAGGGACGGAGCGCATCCCGTCCGTTGTCAGCGTCAGCACGTAGCTGGGACGGGGAGGGGACAGCTCGGGGGGGACAGGGGACACCCCGAATCCCTTGGGGACACCCCAAAATTCCTTGGGGACACCCCAAATCCCCTGGGGACACCCCCAAATCCCTTGGGGGCACCCCCAGAAAAAATAGGGACAGAGCTCATCCCATCCGTGATCAGCGTCAGCACAACTGGGACAGGGAGGGGACAGCTCAGAGCGGGACAGGGGACACCCCAAAACCCTGGGGACACCCCCAAATTCCTTGGGGACACCCCCAGGACCTCCCCAAATCCCTGGAGACCCCTCCTAGACCCTCAGGACCACCCTGAAATCCCCCCAGAACTCCCCCTTGTTCCAGGGGAAGGAGGGGACTGAGCTAATCTGTCCCTGACCAGCTCCAGGACACGGCTGGGACAGGGGGTGGCACTTCACAGGGGGACAGGGGACACCCCAAATCCTTGGGGACACCCCTACAATCCTTGGGGACACCCCAAAATCTTTGGGGACCCCCCCAGACTCACATCTCCCCCCCCTTGAGTGAGATGACCATCTTGTCATAGGAAATGAAGGTGGCCTGGGCACAGTCCAGAGTGATCCTCACGCCCTCCTGGACCCCTGGGGACAGGGACGGGGACAGTCACAGCTGGGACGGGGACAGGGGGACAGTCACAGCAGGGA